AACCTAATTCACTCTAAATTTTATGTTAATCTTATAGATTTAAGTTTTGGAGGTTCACGAATATTACCTTTTTGGGTTTTGTTTTGGGGGAGGAGGGTAGGGGGATATGATGTGTGTATGGAGGTTGTGCTTTAAAATTAGACGTGTAGTGGAGAAATAACAAATAAGGAAGAGAAGTGTTGGAAAGGGAAAGAAACAAAAATAAAAAATACAACAAAATAACACAATGAGATTATAAACAAAAAGCAGATAAATAATGGGGCAGTCTTTCCAACGAGAAAGCCACATAATTTCACTTTCTACCATGACTCATCAATCACCTCTCTCTCTCTCTCTCTCTCTATATATATATATATATATATATATATATATTCCCCTCTCTCTCTCTATATATATATATATTCCCCTCTCTCTCTCTATATATATATGGAATAAATAGGGAGACATTATCCCTCTATTTTTAATCGAAAATTAAAGAAAATATAATTAAAATTGGTGTGAAACAATCATTTTTTAATATATTTAAATATTTTTAATCTTTTTGTCATGGTTTTTTCATGTATTTTTCTAAAGGGTTTTTCATGAATTTCATTCTTAGACATTGTTTGATTATTATTTTTATTAAGTATTGTATAGATAAAGTTAGTTGTGTAGATAAAATACGTATATGAATCATATAAAATTATTACTGTTTGAATAATGGAAATGACAATTTCATCCACACTGTTTGTTTTGCACATAAAATATAAGTTTTTGCCCATATAAAATTTGATTTCTCCTCTATATTTTCATAAATTGATTTCAATAATCGATCAAATCTCAACATAAATTATCTTTGATATTTCCTTTCTATGTTTAAGATTTGCTACAATCCTATTATAATTTCGTTTAATGAATCAATTTAATGCATTGATTTGAGGTGAACTATTCAATTAAACAACTATAAATATATAATAACAATGCAAATAATGTATTAAAATTTTAACATTACAGACTAAAATAGATCATTAGATAACAAATTAACCAATATATATATATATATATGGAGAAATATATTAAGGTTAGAAAGTTTATAGCATTAACTGAGTAGTTATTGGTTCATGAAGCACGAATTTGATCTCAAGTCGCCATCATCGTCATCATCATCATCATCTCTGTTCCATTATAGAGCATTCTTCTTCTTTTCATGTTTTTTGTTCTCTGTTATATTTTTTAATGAAAATTGTCAGTTCCCTTTTAATATCATCTCTCTTTGTTTTCCTGAATATAGACCATGTCTCATAATAACGAGGGGCATATCATTACTTGAATAAAGTAGGACAATAACACATACAATTATTTGTTTCATCAATCATGAATAGCAAACATATACACCGATTACCTTAAGTATTCAAAACACATCAGATAACAATTGTTGAAGACGATGATCAATCGATTTAAAACCCTAGTGATTAAAGACAAGTAAAGAAAGAAAACCTAATGGACGATGATCAATTCAGAAGCCTAATGGTTGAAGAAGACTATAGGTACATTAACAAACATCACCTTCTATCTTGATCCATCCATACACAGAACCATAATGGTGGGATTTTCTTACTTCAACTTCCTTTTTATCTGTGATGTCTTTTGAATTACTTCCTATCTCTACCCTTGATCAACTAATAGAGCTTTTCGGCCTGAGAGAAAAAACTTTTCGTCACAAACCAAAATCAATGAACAAAACAATCTTGGGGATGGGAAGAACCATTGAGGATGGAAATAGGTAGGGGACGAGAAGATAGCGAGGTGGAGAGGTGTCGTCTGTGTACTTGAGAAATTCTCTAGGAAGGGCTTTCTTCACAAAGGGCAGAGGTTGGAAAAATGATGGCTTAATCATAAAGCTTACCTTGGTGAGCTGAGCGAATAAGCTGATATCCTGATGATTAAGTTATAAACAAAGAGTTATGTACAACTTACGGAATAAGCCATACATGTCATATATTCTATTAAGCCAATTCCAAACAACCTCTTATATATATAAGGGCAAATTAAATCACAGTCATAAAACGGTTTTAACCCTTTTGAAAGCTGATTTAAAATATCTTTTAACTTGAATTTTTCATTAAAAACTATGATTTTGTGTATTCTTTTAAATACAATATTTGTTTCATAATTCAATAGTAAATTAAAACTTTTTACGTGCATTTTCCATTTCACTATATGAACCAAAAAAAAAGTTCCCTATGTATATTTTTCACAATTTTGAACCAAAAAAATTTACACATTTCACTTATATACAAGATGGTTTATTTAATAAACTTAAATATTTTTGGAACACATGAACCACCCTTTTGTGAGTATTTATAACAAATGACGTGATAAATATTCTTGATGAATGTCCTGACATATATTCATGATGAGTGGTACGTATTTATCATGAATACTCATAAAAATAAGTTCACGGGCTCCTAATATATTTAAGTTTCCTAAATGAATTTGACCATTTAGATGCATATATACGTACGTACGTACGTACGTACCTGCATACATACCTTGTAATTGTATAAAAGACATTTATCACTAGACCTTAAGGTCTAACCCTTATTTTGGTGTTTTAAAATGTGTATTACAGGTTAGGCAACCAGTTGTTAAGGGGAGGGATAAATCTATGAAGAAATATATGATTGCCTGTGTATGGATTTTTGGATAATGTGTCGTAACTTGTTCCTGCATGTTGTTTATGAGTACAAGTTTTGTATAAGAGATTTTGTGAAAAAATTTGGTAGCTACTTTTATAATGTAGTTTTTGTATTTATTTATTTATGGGACCGAATATGTATTTGTATTTCTTGATATATGAAATACATTAATATATGCAAATATGGATCTTGGGATGTTACAATATAACTGTTTTTTTCAATTATTTTAAAGTTTTTAATTTTTTTGATTTATAGATAAAATTTTTTACATTTTGTGCTTTACACTTTTACAGATTTACATAATTATTTTACTTATACGGGAATGGATTCAAATGTGACATACACATTGAAACAAACTCACTTCACAAAATCATAGTTAAAACGAAGTTTTAAAACTCTTCCGAGTTTCATTTTTGAATAATTGATCACATACTCTTTTTATGAAATCAATATCTATATCTATATCTATATATATATATATATATATACACCCACACATGATTTATTTCTTCTAATGTGAATTTAAATTTGTCACCTTAATTAAGTCACACCTTGAAAAACTTCGCATCCTCGCCGTGGCACATTAAGCAGGCTTGCCCTCATCGTCACGCTCACGCCATTTGAAACCTTCCTCTCTAGTCATATGTGCTATGCATCGCCAAGAGAGAAGATGGCTCGCTTTGGAAGGATGTGATATGTGCGATTCACGGCCAAGAGGGAAGGTTGGGTGTTGGTATTCCGATTGGTTACAAATCAAGCACATGGAGCGTGATTAGCCAATTAAGTTCCACCTTCACTAATTTTAAGATCAATTTTGGTGAGCTTTTTGCATTTAACCGCAATGTTTAGAGATGGAATCCTGAAGCTAGTGGGATTTTTTCAGTTGTTGGGCTGAGAAAGATGATAGACAACGGCCTTCTTGTTCAGGTACAACGCAAGATCTATTGGATAAAAATAGTCACAGGGAAAGCCAACCTTCTGTTTTGGCGTGTCAGCTGGTTGGGTATAGCAGCAACTTGTCTAGTAGGGGAACTGGAGTCCTTACTACCTAATGTAACAATGCTCTTCGGCAAAAGAGTTGTGCTTTGTTGCACCAATGATGGCCCGAGATCCCAGCATCTGCTACATCTTTCGAGGAGGTATTGGAGTTGTTATCGAACCCTGCTGGAGAGAAAATGAACAAAATGTTGTTACCCATGTTTTGTCTAGCGGTCTCCTGGGTTGTCTAGAGGAGTCGGAACGAAAAAGTTTTTCATAGCAAGTTGCAATCCAATCCATCCTTAAAGTAGCAAATGGTGTCTAGTTCTTTTTCCTTTATGTGGGTTAAAAAAACAAAGTAAAAACAGAGAGGAGAATTAGATGAAAAACTTGGTGTTATAACCCTCTACCATGTTTTTCAAATGCTTTATGAAATAATTATATGTTGATAGGTTATGCTCAAATAAAATTGTTTCTTGTTATTAAAAAAAGGTTTAATTTCACGAGATAATTGAAGTCTACTAGTTCAACTATTACACAAATATTTCATATAAAATTTGTGTATTCCTTATTTATCAATTTAAAAAGTATAAATATGATTAATATTAAATTTATTAAAATGATATAAATAAAAAGAAATACGTAAAAATCAATATACATTTTAACTTTATTGTACACGTGATCATGAGCAGTTTTCTCATCGATTCCATGAAAATTATACGATAATATTTTTTCCCAAACATAATTTCATGAAACTTATAAAACTGCAATATTTTAAATTTAACTTTTATAATTTATTTTATTAATAAATGTTTTAACTAATTAATTATAAATATTGGTAACTATGAATTTGACATACAAGTTTTTCCATATCTTGTTGTTGTCAATTAGTGTATTTTCAATATTCCATCTATAATTAAATATATTTTTGTTAAATTTAATAAATTATATAATTAATCAAATATATATTTGTTAAATTAATAAATTATATACGGTTGAAATCAAACATTTTAACTTTTTTAAAACGAAAAGTAGCATTTTAATTGTATATTCAATTGAATATAGTAATCCTCGACCAAAAGGTGTTCCACGACCACACACATATGTGCATGAAAGTGACTACATCACAGAGAGAGAGAGAGAGAGAGAGAGAGAGAGAGAGAGAGAAACAGATCCTTCATTTCTTTGCTATAATTAAGAATGTAACCTTGATTAGGTTGTGGTCATTCCCTTAGAGTTTTCAACTTCATTCCTTTTCTTGTCACACACACACACACACAGAGCAAGATCTATCTGCAACAGAAACCAAGAAGAAGAAGAAGAGGATCATCAGAGGAGCTCAAGATGTTAGAGAAGCTCATAGCAGAAGAAGCCATAACCCCAAATGGTTTCACTCACATCAACAGTCTTCCACCACCTTCCTCCAATCCTCCCACCATCAAGAAAAAGAGAAACCTCCCTGGAACCCCAGGCAAATACCAACTTCAACTCTTTTCTTTCAAAGCAAATTCCATGGAAATTTGAACTCATAACTTGATGGTCATATAGATTCACTCACACCATACTTCATTTCAAAACCCTAGTTTCAATCTCTCATCTTTTAGCCAAACTATTCAATTCTCCCACCAAAAAGAAAAACAGAAGCCTCAGTGGAACCCCAGGCATCCCATTTAAACCTTTTTTTTTTAAAGCAAATTCCAAAAGGAGATTTGAACTATTAAGCTTAATAAGCATATAGATTCACTCACACCGGCCATACTCTAAAAGTTTTACTTCATTAAAAAATGAACCCTAGTTTCCCTCTCTCATGTTTAAGGCATGCTCATTCATCACCTGTTTGATAATGAATCTGGTTTTACAATTATTTTTGCAGATCCTGAAGCAGAAGTTATCGCGTTGTCGCCCAAGACACTAATGGCAACAAACAGATTTTTGTGTGAGATTTGTGGGAAAGGGTTTCAAAGAGATCAAAACCTTCAGCTTCATCGACGAGGTCATAACCTGCCATGGAAGCTAAAGCAAAGAACAACCAAAGAAGTGCGAAAGCGGGTTTATGTTTGCCCAGAGAAGTCTTGTGTCCATAACCACCCTTCGAGGGCACTTGGAGACTTGACTGGTATCAAGAAGCATTTCTGCAGAAAGCATGGGGAGAAGAAGTGGAAGTGCGCCAAGTGCTCCAAGTGTTATGCAGTTCAGTCTGACTGGAAGGCTCATTCTAAAACCTGTGGGACAAGAGAGTATAAGTGTGATTGCGGGACAATATTCTCAAGGTAAGCTTTTTCCCTTCAATTACAAGTTTCTTCTGGTAACATGTTTAGTTCCACCTACTTCCACAACAACAAAGTGTCGTAATAGACCGTTTTATAAAACTTATTTTATAGGATCAAAAAATAAACCGTCATATCTGAAGACGTAATAAGTTTATATGACGTTTTTGGGCGTTTTAACAAATTTTTTAGGATATTTTTAATATAAAGCGTCTTATTAACAAATTTATATGATATTATTTGAAAAAAAATGTTCTATAAAAACAAGTATTCTATAAAAAAAAGTTGATTTTATAAGTGTCATATAAAATTGCTAATATGATGCTTTCTATTAAAAGTGTACCAAAAAAATTTGTTGAAACGTTCAAAAGCGTCTTATAAACTTATTACAACGTCTTTAGATGGAACATTTTATCTTTTGTTTCTAAAAAATTAAGTCATATAAAACAGTTTATGATGACGCTTAGAAATCGATGACATCTTATAAACCCAGTTTTGTTGTAATGATTACAATTATATTATTCTCTTTTTAAGTACTGAAATTAAAAGTCATACAATTTTTTTGATTAATTGTGGTCAGTAAATTTAAACCAGTCATATCAGAACAACAAAACCAAGCCATCTTTCAAGGTTTTCAATTACAAGTTCAAGACATAAAAAGAGAAACGCAAAAAGTTTCAAAATTTTAAATAAATCATCTAAACATAAATGATCAAGAATCGTTGTTAAATTAAGATCATAAATTGATTTTTCATGTTAATTAATTTGATAAAACTAAAAAAACCATACTGTAACTGCTATTGTTGTAAAAGGTGTAATTTATTAAAAATACGTCAATTTATTACCTATTTTTTCAAAAGAATGCATTATAAAAAATCCACTTGTGGCCACAGACGTTTAAATACGGTGATTCCGGATTACAGATGTAAAGCGGATGATCGTTTTGGAATTAGTCAGCTTGCATAGCGGGTTGGATATACAGATTAATAAAAAAATGCATTATAAAGTCAATAGTGTTTGTTTTTTTTTTTAAATATCATTATCAATATTTTCATGTCGTCTCGTAACTGTAAGTTGGAACCTTTATGAGTTGAATTATATTTTCAAATGTTGTATTAGTTAATTCATTAACATATAATCATCGTGTAAAAGATAAAACAAACTATTAAAGTCGACTGTTTTTCTGTTTTGAACCACCGAGAGTTATAAACTTATTCTAAAACAACCCATACTTTTAATTTTTATCAAAAAATGCATGGTTCGGTAAAAACATATTTTAAAATATAGAATTTTGTTGTGTATAAATTTTCAATAATAATAGCATTTTATAAATTAATATAAAATCTCTCTCTCACACACATACATATATATATATATATATATATATAAAAGAGAAAAGTCCAGTTTTATTCTTGATTTTTATTGTGAATTGGGAGACAAATCAGAGTGTGCAACGTGTTATATTTGTTGTCATTCATCATTATATAATAAACATGGATTTTTTATATAATTCATGACGAATGATACATTATTAATGATGAATATATATCATAAATGTTTGGAACCGATGGCACACCATCGTTTATTCCTCAATTCATAATATATATATATATATATATACATATATTAAGTTTGTAAATGAAACTATACATATATATATATATATAATATTATAAGAGATATACTATAATTCTTTCATACAACAAAATAATATCGGTTGTTTGATATTCATTCACGATCACTCATCACCCATGATCTCTTTTGGTTACTAATTGTATCGCGAAATACATTTTGTATAAAGTATAACTATTTCATGTTAGTTTAGAATAATTCGAATTTCTTTTCTAGAAAAACCAATAACTATGAAAGCACTACATCTAGATAACGAAAATGACCCAAAACAAAGCTTCAAAAAGAATCTCTTACACTTGAACAGGGTCCAACATTTAACCAAAAGTTAATACAAAAACCCCAAATGAAATAATTGTTTCATATTAAAAAAAGCACCTTTTTTTTTCTATATTTTGAATGGTAAAATGATGAACAAAAATGGGTTTCTTCTAAAGAATGATTGCAACAAAGTCGTGTATAGTTTTTTGAGTTTTAGAAAATGAAGAGGGTTTTGGGATATGATGATTTCAAGTATCATGTCTTAATCAATAAGACTTTTGTGTTGAAATACATGCAGGAGAGACAGCTTCATCACTCATAGGGCTTTCTGTGATGCCTTGGCAGAGGAGACTGCAAGGGTTACTGCAGCATCTCACTTCAACAATGTAACACCAGCAGCAGTAGGAAACGTAAACTACCATTTTGTGGGACCTCCGGTTCTGGCTGGTCCAACCATGGCGCAACATTTCTCTTCCATCTTCAAGCCCATATCAGCCAACCGGCCCGAAAACCATCTTGACTCTACTCGACAAGGTGCACTTTCACTCTGGACCAGTACTGATAACAATAACGATAATAATGATCACGATAATCTCCAAGACATGCATCAATTGGACCCTGTTTTATATGCTGATCCGCATCAAAACCATCCTCCACCTTCCCACTATCAATCAAATTGGGGTGTGTTTGGAGTGAAAACCACTTCTGATCATGAGGTTAATGTGAGTGCTCCTTCTTTGTTCAGCACTCAAAACGAGTCACACCAAACACACCCAACGTCGAGCATGTCTGCGACTGCTTTGTTGCAAAAAGCCGCACAAATGGGGTCAACCTCCTCCGCTACAACCAACCATTCTTCGTTCCTTGGAAGCTTTGGATTGAAGGCCAACAGTAACATCACCACTGCTACTGCTACTCTAGTTCAAAATGAGAACAAGTTTTGTGGGTTGTATGGTGCAAATCCCATGATGAATGGTGTTCTTGGAAATGATCTGGAGAATGAATTTTCCAGTTTGGAGCAGCTGCAGATGTACCCACCCTCTAAAAGAAGGCACATTCAGATTGATCAAGAACATCATAGTGGCAACAATGGAGGGCAAACTAGGGATTTCCTTGGTGTGGGCATTCAACCCATCTGCCACCCTAGGATGAGATTCGATCATGTGTAAAGGGTTGCATGAGAGAGAGAGAGAACAAAAAGTGGTGGAAAGAAGGCTGGTAAAGATGAAGAGAGACGATCCATGCATATTCAGATGCTGAGGACTTTTGAAGAAAATTGTGGTGGCTTTTTAATTTGAGAAAAAGGAGGGTATGTTGGTAGTGCTGAGGCTAAATAAGAAAAAGCCCTTTTAAACTCCATTATTGCTTATCTTTAGTGCCCTCCTCTAACATTTCATTTAAATATCAAAGATAATAAATTCAATGCATTTGTATCAACTTTTAATTTCACTCACAGGAACAAAATGGAGTTTATAGGACATTCTCAATCTCTAAGTATCTCAATAGACCGTTTTATACGACTTAATTTTTAGGACCAAAATATAAAGCGTCCTATCTAAAGGTGTTGTAATAAATTTATATGACGGTTTGGACGTCTTAACAAGTTTTTTAGGACATCTTAATATAAAGTATCGCATTAGTAACTTTATTGGACATTTTTGAGAAAGTGTTCTATAAACTCAATTTTTTATAGAGCATTTATTTTCATAGCCAACACCATTGTTTTAGGGCAGTCACATTGGATATAAGAAGTCTATTTTTTAGATCCAATTGTTGATGAAAAGTTTTTATGGGTTCAATTTTTTTGGGTTCTCTCTTGAATATCTCTATCTGTGTATATATGTACTTTTTTCTTTTATTAACGATTTATAATGTTATCATAATTTGGTTTAGAGTGAATTACATTCATTGTGCATATGATTTACACTATATTATAGATCTCGCCTCTAAACTTAAATAACTAACTAGTTGTTTCCACTATTAGAAAAAAAAGTATCAGTGACGGTTATTAACGATGGAAAAAATCCGTCGCTGATGGATAGGCCAAAAACCAATTTCCTTGCAGATCCCTCGCTGATCAGCGATGGATTTGCGAGGGAAAAGGTTTTTCGCCTATCTATCGCTCATCCGCCACTGATCAGCGAAAGATCTGTAAGGATAGGCCAAAAACCAGTTTCCTTGCTAATCCATCGCTGATCAGTGAGGAATCTACAAAGGAAATGGTTTTTTGCCTATCCGTCGTTGTTTAGGGAGGGATCTACGAGGGAAATGGTTTTTGGCCTATTTGTCGTTGATCCGTCGCTGATCAGCGAGACATAGACTAAAAACCAGTTCTCTCGCTGATCAGCGAGGGAACTAGTTTTTGGCTCATCCCTCGTAGATCTCTCGCTTTAATTCATCACTAATCAGCAAGGGATCTGAGAGGGATTTTTCTATTTTTCTCATTTTTTTATGTGTTATATGTACACATGTGTATGTGTAGGTGTCATATATATACATTTGTATGTGTTATATGTATATATGATGTGTATATACGTGTGTTAGTTGCTAACCGCGATAATTAGGTTTATGTTTATATTATTGAAGATACATGTATCGGATGATGTATACGTATATGTTGTGTGTGTATGTATGTATATATATATATATATATATATATATAAACGTATGTGTATGTGCTATTGTCTAGATAATGTGTTTTGTATATACACATGTATATGTGTTATATGTATATATACATGTTGAGCCTTGTAATATA